TAGGGTTTTAGGGTTTGGGGTTAAATTTTTGAATTGTCCTCATTGAGGGGTAGGTTTTCATCTTCGCTTGCATGGCAGCCGCCTTTGCTCTTCGCAGGGTCAAAAGCTCCAGGCGAAGATTCAAGTCCTTGCTGGGGGTTAGTAGGGAATNNTTCTATAGGGCATATATAGGGATTAGATTCCCCTATTCCCTACTAACCACCAGTAAGAGTCGGCATCCGATGGGAATCATGTCCGTGCCCGCTCGGTCGCCAGCTTCTCCCCCATGCTCCGCTTTTTGCCACAAGGAGAGCTGCAGTAGCCAAAGGCAAAGTACCAGTGCCACGGCGGTTGCAACGAAAGGGAGCCGCCCGTCCTGCAGTAGTGTACTATAGAAGTTTCCATGTTCTGTTCCCTTTTCCCTATATGACCCCCTTATATAGCCCTATAATATAATAGTTTCCATTTACCTTTCCACTATCCCTATATATAATCCCTATATTACCCCTATAGAATTCCGTCCTTCAGCAGAAAGCTGGGATTGCCAGGGCCCTCATCTATGGATAGAGTCCACAAGGCCTTGGCTGCGGAGAAGGAACTTAGGGTTTAGGGTTTAGGGTTTAGGCGTACTAGATTATCCCCCTTATAATGGAGAATCAAATGCAAAAGGAAATGGAAAATTAAATGGAAACTAAGGGAATATAGGGATTTATAGGTTTAGGGTTTAGGGAAGTTACCGTCATGAGGAAGCCCTGTTTCGGCTACACGTGTGTGCCGCGGCAAGTTAACCCTGAACCCTATAAAAACCTTTTTTCCCCTTTAGAACCCGATCGGCAAATTCTTGTGGTAAGTTGATTTAAGTCCATGGTATAATTTTCTTCTCACCCTAGCTTGCTTTCATTTCCCACTCTCCTTTCCATCTGATTCTCCATCATGGTAGCCCTATACCTCAAACCCTAAGGCCTGGACTAAACCCTGATCTGAAAACCCAAGCCCTGCACCCTAAGCCCTAAACCCCAAACCCTAAGCCTCAAACCCCGAACCCTGAACCCTACGCCCTAAACCCTGAACCCTGAATAGTAGCTTCCATTTTCTTTTCCAAATATAGCCCGAATATAACCCTAAACCCTAAACCCCTAACATTACCCCAATGGCACTTAATTTCAGTTCCTTAACAGCAAACCAGACACTGGCCCAAGCAAGCTCCCAGCCACCCCACCGCCAGCCTGAGCAGGGTTTGGGGTTTCGAAATTCGGTGTTTAGGGTGTAGATTTTAGAGCTTCGGATCCCTAAACCATATACCCTAAACCCTAAACCCTAAACCCCTGAACCCTGAACCCCTAAAGCCCTAAACCCCAAAACCCTGAAACGCGAGTTAGAGTTTAGAGTTTAGGGCTCAGGGTTCGCGTCCACCCGAGGCCTGGGCAGAGTTTAAGAAGCCCATGGCCCAGCCCTGCGCATCTGCGGGAACACCTCGTTTGCGGTTAAGGGTTTGGGATTTAGGGTTCAGGGTTTTAGGGTTAAGGGCGTAGGGTTTAGGGCTTAGAGTTTAGGGCTCAGGGTTTAGGATTTTTTGTTTCGGGTTTAGATTTTAGGGTTTAGGCTCTAGGGCTTGAGGTTTATGATTGAGGGCTTAAGGGTCTGTTAAGAAACTGGAGGCTGCCACACACGGTATATAGGGCTTCTTGGAGGTTCATGGGACGTAGTAATTACTTATAACTGAACTTATAACCCTACTTATGAGTTCCCTAAATGGGCTTATTTTGATTAACCCAATTTTAAGTAGCGTTATAACCCCAGTTATGAGAGGTTGCTAAGCCGGATGGGCCTCCAAGTTCTATGTGGGGGTTATATACGGGCTTATATGAGGGTACATAGGGTTTTTTTCGGACCGTATTAGGGGCTTGAAGAGGGTGTATCGACTTAAGTTACTTTGGTATCGGTCTAGGCAAATATGTAGGGGTCGGATGTATATGGCTTAGACCTAAACTGCCCTGGCTTATATGGAGGCATGTAACGAAGCCCTAAATTCTAACCCTAAACCCCAAACCCTAAATCCTAAACCCTAAAGCCTAAATCCTAAACCCAATGTGGTTTACTAACAAGCGTAAGTTGACTGCAAGCCAGGCACACAGGGATGCTGTAACCTCTACACCAGACCTTAGCCCACATTGCCCTAGGAAAAAAAAGGATCCGTCTCGCATTAATATAAGGACTTCCAAACCCAAAAGGTACAAATTTCACATAAAAATTAAGACATCCCAAACCCCCCAAAAATACAAAGGATCCCTAAAATTGATCCAGAGACGTCAAGACCCCGATGAAGACCAAGCAGGGCACGCTGAGCAACACATGCAGAATCTGCGCAAGGCCCAGTGAAGGCTGTCTCGCACCAACGCCGAACCTAGCGCATTCTTACAGCCGCTTTAAACAGCTAAGGTTTAGAGCGTCCAGGGCCTAACATTGGGCTGCATATCAGTTTGCACAACTTCCGTTCAGTGCCGAATCCTGAATAACGACCCAGAAGCCCGACCAGCGAGAAGAGGCTGAGCCATGCCAAAGCTTGCAGCGCCCTTCGCTGTGAAATCCTCTGCGTCCAGCTCGGGTACATTGCCAAAGCGACGCTGAAAAGCAGCATATTTGTGGAGGACAAGAAGGAATACGATCTTGCCTCCCACCCAAAATGGAACTTGATATAAATGGGCCATAAGGTCCGGCAAATTGACTGGCAACAGGAAACTATACTCAGAGTAACAGCTGCCACGAGAAAATTGGCACTGCATCGACTTGCATTTCCACTCATCTTCTCAAGCTGTGGCAGTTGCTTTGACTGCTCAGGTTGTCTGCTAAACTTGGAGCAGCCTGCGACAAGAACCACAATTCCAATCCAGCAGAAGAGCGCGCAGGTCCCGACCTCAGCCCTATAGCGCAGTAGCTTGTCTGTAAAGCCAACCAGCTGCAGGCTCGAGTCAAGCACAGGATACAGGAAGCTTCCAAGCGTCAGCAATGTCATCTGAGCTCTTAGTCCCACAACCAGGAGTGCCCGCTGGCTGTGCGGAAGCTCTGACGCAATGTAGCCCTTCACCATACTCCACCTTACTGGTGCTTAAGGGAGACTGGGGAAGTGGATCCCTATAATAATCCCTATAGATACCCCTCTTACGGTACCTATATTCACTCCCTCACTCCCCCTTAAGCAGCAGTAAGCCACTGACAGCTGCCTCCCACGCCCATGAAAATTTGAGCAGCGATAAGATGGCTGGAGGAGTTGGCCATAGCTCGGATGAGGCATCCGAAGCCGCCTGAGCCATGGCCATGCATGGGACGACAACAAGACATGGTTGTCTGCATCCCTACACCCTAAATCCTTAAGCCTGCGCCCTAAACTCTAAACCGAAAAACCCTAAGCCCTAAGCCTGACAGGACTTACAAGTGAGAAAGGGCACAAAAAACTTGATTCAACGCTGGCTGTAGCTACAGGATAGCACGGACAGCAGGAGGGGCTTCAGCACTCCTGGGTTGCTGTTAAGGAACTTAAATTAAGTTACCATAATGGGTAAATTTTAGTTATTAATGAAGTTTATCCAATATAGCAATTTAAATTAAATTCTTTAACGGCAACCCAGACTCCTCGAGCATCTACCATCCATCCGTACAGCGGTGACAGGATCATGCATGCGGTGCCCATGAAGAAGCTAAGGTAGCCAATGTCCATCACTGACGCACCCAGCTGCAAGAAAAAGAATGTGATCACCTGCTTCTGGGCTGCTGTTCAGGAACTTAATGTAAGTTACTATATTGGGGAAGCCCTATTCCTTACTACATACATATATAAAACAGTATATCTATATACATATACACCCATTATGGGAACTTAACTTAAGTTCCTTAACAGCAACCCAAGCTTGGTACATGCAAGCGGTCCACCAGGAAATTACTGCCAGAACAAGAAGAACAAGGATAAAAGCCAGAACAAGAAGGACGACAACGACGACTGTATCCATGGCAACATTCGGAACATACCGGCTTGCCTCTGTTACTTCTACTACTCCCACTGCTGCAACAACCTTTTGCAGCTACTGCTACTACAAACGTGAGGACGGCTACTGCTACTCTCCGCTTCCTGCTGTAACTACAAGGACTGCTAATTGTGGACGACAACAACTATCAAAATACATTTGCTACTATTACTACGATTATTACCACCACTGCGTACTGGTACTAGTACTAGTGCTGCTACTCACACCAATACTACTGCCATTAGTACTGCTACTGCTACTAGTGCTGCTACTGCTACTGCTACTGCTACGGCTACTGCTGCTGCTGCTGCTGCTGCTGCTGCTGCTGCTGCTGCTGCTGCTGCTTCTGCTTCTGCTTCTGCTTCTGCTTCTGCTTCTGCTTCTGCTTCTGCTTCTGCTTCTGCTTCTGCTTCTGCTTCTGCTGCTGCTTCTGCTGCTGCTGCTGCTGCTGCTGCTGCT